ATTTTATGAATTAATATAACAATGAATAAAGTTTTATATTTATATATATAAAATTTAAATATTGCAAGAATAAAAACTAATTTTATTGTACTAAAAATTAAGTTACAAAAATGTTTTTTTTTACAAAATGTTTGAGATGCATCATGGTTTATATGCATCATGCACTATGTGGTATTAATAAAATGATATGTAACATGCACTATGCGGTATTAATAAAACCTTGCAACTTAAAGAATAAAAATGTTGCTTATATTTTTTAGTTTAAAAGCTGTTAAAGTTGAAAATGTTTTTTGTTTATTTTCAAAATAGCATTTCTTTAGAAAATTATTTTTTTATAAGAATTTTGTTTGTTTTACTGCATTTGATTAGTTATTTAAAACTTCAATGTTAACAATTGGTTACCTAAAGTTTGTTTTTATATTAAATCTTTTTATATTAGATTTGTTTTAGTTGAAGCATTTTTTAAATTATTTTGCGTGAACAAAAGATATTAAATACATTTTTGAATCTTGTTTTTATTTTACTTTAATAACTTAACAAAATTTATTTAAGAAAAAATTATTTTCCTCAGTACAATAAAATTTTCTTATTTTTTATACAATGGAAGCCATTTTGCTCTAGATGAGATCCTCTATGGTGATTTTCTTCTTAAAGTCAGCAATTTCGCTGCTCTTAAATTCTTATGTTAATTAGCTTTAATAATCACCCAATGTTGCTCAACGGGAAGATGTTCAGAACAATTTGCAGAATTGTGCATTCTAGGTATTAAATCAATATTATTGGCATTGTAGACACTAAGAGATCGCCAGGCCAATGAGAACTCCAGTTTTTATGTTGTGTCAATCAAATTGAACTTTTTTTTATTTAAGAGTATTTTTCTTATAATAATAGAAAAGAGCTTTTATAAAATCAGGAAAAAAATGCTTAGTTCACAAATGAAGCAGAAGGTAAAATTGAAGAGGCCTAAGCCTATTTAAACATTTTAGGTATAAATTTGTTTAACCTTGTAGGTTTAAATTTGAAATGAAGTCTCCACACTGTTCAACAAATTTCTTGCTTAGATAAGACTTTAAAATGCCTTTACATCTCAGTTTTCTCTTAGACCAATAGTTAAGTGTATGAAAGACTATAGTAAAAAATTCTTGTTTTTCCTAAGCTCTTGTGACTGACATTAAGTTAACATTTACTATATTAAAAAACATATTCTTATCTATCCAAGATTCCTATCATTCAAGTTTCATTACCCATCACTCAAGTTTCATTACCCATCATTCAAGTTTCATTACCCATCACTCAAGTTTCATTACCCATCAATCAAGTTTCATTACCCATTACTCAAGTTTCATTACCCATCACTCAACTTTCATTACCTATCACTCAACTTTCATTACCCATCATTCAAGTTTTATTACCCATCACTCAAGTTTCATTACCCATCATTCAGGTTTTATTACCCATCACTCAAGTTTTTTAATCAGTTATCAGTCAGTAAAGTCAGTTGTTTTTCTGTAACATAACATTTTGTACAAACTTTTTAGCATCTTTTTTTTTTTTTTTTTTTTTAATATATATTATAAGAAATAAAAAGTGTTAGTTTTACTTAACTTTTATGCAAAAAGATATCAAACAAAAGTTATTTCCCTAAAAATGATATATTTCCAAAGATTACAAACTAAACCACATAAGCTGTGGTCAAACTGAAAAGGCTGTCATTAATTTAAACATTTAGTTTATAGAAATTTAAGAAGTCAGATTTTCTTGTAGTTTGTAAAAAAATGAATTATTCTACTATTTTAAAAGTTTTAAAAAATAACATCGCTGACCTTTTTAGTTTTTAATCTTTATTTAAAGATCTTCAAATATGTTTAATCAATTTTCTTACTTTGCTGGCTGATAGGAGTTTTACTTTATTTAAGTTCAAACATACAAGCTTGAATAGATATTTGCTGATGGATTTTCACTTGCTTTATTAAAGTTCAAACAGACAAGTTTCTTAAAAGTATACGAAATAAAGATATTTTATTAGAACACAAACTAAGATTTTTATATCTAAACTTTTTAAGCACAATTAAACATAATTTCAAATTATTTTCCTTAAGACATATTTAAACATAATTTCAAAGCTAAAAATGATGTAAACAAGTTGTTGTTTTTTGAAACTATGTTTCTCTTTCGCTTATTAGTATTATTTGGGCCTACATATGGATGGTATTGTATTTTGTTTCTAAATCCAGACTTTGTTAATGCATCTTTATAAATAGAAGCAGTATTATTGAAAATTGCTTCGCTGGAAGAATTGGTTGATAACCTACGCTTAATTAAAGTTGGTAACTGTTATATATATATATATATATATATATATATATATATATATATATATATATATATATATACACACACACAAATTCATCTTATTATTATTTATTATTATTTCCTTTATAAGAAACAAAAAAAAAAAATACTACACTGCTCAAATAGTTTTCACTTATTTGGTCAGTATAATCATAAACTAAATGAATCAAAGTTTGGTCAGTATAATCATAAACTAAATGAATTGAAGTTTGGTCAGTATAATCATAAACTAAATGAATCAAAGTTTGGTCAGTATAATCATAAACTAAATGAATTAAAGTTGGGTCAGTATAATCATAAACTAAATGAATCAAAGTTTGGTCAGTATAATCATAAACTAAATGAATTGAAGTTTGGTCAGTATAATCATAAACTAAATGAATCAAAGTTTGGTCAGTATAATCATAAACTAAATGAATTAAAGTTGGGTCAGTATAATCATAAACTAAATGAATCAAAGTTTGGTCAGTATAATCATAAACTAAATGAATTGAAGTTGGGTCAGTATAATCATAAACTAAATGAATTGAAGTTTGGTCAGTATACTCATAAACTAAATGAATCGAAGTTGTTATAACTTACCTATGATCTGTAAAATAAAGTTGGTCAAATTAAAGTAAGGGTCATTCCATATGAAATCATCCAGACCATGACACCCTTACATCTCAGAATTTGTTTTTACCTCACTTGCAGTCCATATTTAAAGAATATTAATTGCGAAAAGTTTAGTTTAAAATACACATGGGTTCCACAGTTGAAATAATGCTGACCCATTTTTGTGATTATCTGAAGCGACTACAAAGCAACTTTGACATATAGTATCTTCATAATGGCTTAAAAAATTTTTCTCAAATTCGGTACCCCAGTAGATTTTTACTTGAGGAATCTAAAAATTGCACCCTCAAGACTCGATTGTCTCAAGTAATGCCTCATTTATTCAATTTTGTTTAAAATGATTGATTTGTAAATTCATGATTTTTGGAGGTAAAATGAAGACTGTAGCCCAAAATCCTGAATAAAAAGTTTAATTGTATATCATTATTTTATCTTAGGTCTATTGAAAAAAATTAGATTCATCAATTGTTTTTCTAATACTGAATTGTCTTTTTGGAAAAATTTAAATTTTGTAACGAAAGCAGTAGAAATGTTTTTTAAAACATTTATTTGAATAAAACATTAAATAGTGTTATTTATTGACTAATCTAGGACATTTATAGTCATGGGCTTAGGGTGGGCCAGAGGGCCTTTGAATAAATTCACCCCCGCCCCCTATCTCCCTGGATTTTTTTTTTTTTTTTTTTTTTTTTTTTACTTAAAATGAATTAATAATAAATAATTGTTGAAATTCAATTTAAACACATAATTTTTTTTTTAGTTTAAGTTTGAGAAACAATTTATTTTCATTATTTCAATTCAAATCGGTAAATGCTTACCTCTTATATCAAAAACAAGCAAAAGTTTTGTTTTGTTCTTTTTAAAGGTTGTAATTGAATTGATATGGAAATTAAAAGAAGAACAATTTATTATTTATAAAAAAAATTTATATTTTCATTTATTTTCACAATTTTAAAAATTTTTTTAATGTATGAAATAAATAAATATTTCACAGACTGACTCTTATCGCCATACGTGCTAATGCCATAAGGATTTATTTACAAAACTTAGGATATAACTAGATATATCAAAGAAAATCTACCTGATGTATCAAGTGTGAAATACTTTTCAAAATGGTTGAGCAGCACAATTTAAAACTTTATCAATCTTTGTCATCACAGTAAAGACTTTGATTTAAATGCTGAATGGATATTTTTTGCTACCAGTAATTAAATGTTTTAAAAAACATTTCTATTGCTTTTGTTACAAAATTTAAATTTTTATAAAAATACACTATTTTTAAACACAAATTTTGATTAAGTATTAGAGAGACAATTGATGAATCTAATTTTTTTCAGTAGACCTAAAATAAAATAATGATATACAATTAAACTTTTTACTCAGGATTTTGGGCCTCAGTCTTCATTTTACCTCCAAAAATCATGAATTTACAAGTCAATAATTTTAAACAAAATTGAATAAATGAGGCATTTCTTGAGACAATCGAGTCTTGAGGGTGCTATTTTTTGATTCCTCAAGTAAAAATCTAATGAAGTACCAAATTTTAGGAAATTTCTTCAAGCCATTATGAAGATACTATATGTCAAAGTTGCTTTGTAGTCACTTCAGATAATCACTAAAATGCTAAGTCAGCATTATTTCAACTGACGATATCTCTGGAACCCATGTGTATTTTTAACTAAACTTTTCACAGTTATTATTTTTTTAATATGGACTGCAAGTGAGCTAAATAAGAACAAATACTAAGACATAAAGGTGTCAAAAACGTTTTTTTTTTTTTTTTTGATGATTTCATATAGAATTACCCATAAACAAAGTCATCAGTCATAGAATGTAGAATTTAGCAGCATAATATTCATCATTTGAAAATTTCAGGAATTCAGCAGAATTATGATTTATCTTCATGATTCCGCTGAGAAAGAAACTTAGACTTGAAAAAAATAAAAGAGTTAAAATAAAAAATAAAAAAGTTAATAAAATCATTTGATTGCAACAATACAATGATTTTTATATTTCATTATATTTTAATTTAGCACCGCCAGTTAAAAAAGCTAGACAACAAAAAAAATCAACTCCCAATATCTTATCAAAGTTAAAAAATGAATTGCAATTGACTTGGTTACTTCAAACTCATTCTAAAGAAAATAATCCTAATGATTGGTCAACAAAAGTATGGATGTGCGAGTTTGAACCTGATAAAGACTCCTCTGGATTGACAACTGAAATTGTTGCTACATGTGGGGGAGATTCAATATGTTTTATAAACTGTGAAACTGGACTTGTTCACAAAAAATATAAACAACAAGAAGAAGTTTTTTATTGTATTGCATGGACTGTGTTACCTTGCCGTACATTTGATGGAGTTGGTGAGAGGAAGGAAACTTTATTAGCAGCAGCTGGTGTCCTTGGAGATATAATTTTAATAAACACAGAAAAACTTGTTTGCTATCGGCGAATTATGCACCATAAAAAACCTGTTGATGCATTGATATTCCATCCAATGAAACCACATTGGTTGTTTAGTAAGTTTCAGTTTAATATTATATTAATTGATAACAAATTTCAGGTGTTTTGATGGATTACATTTCAAATAATTTAGTAACTTATTAATTATTAATTTTATTTGAACTTTATTAAAACAGGTGGTTCTGAAGATGGAACAATAGTGCTTTGGGATATTGGATTACCATTTATAACTGATGATCCAAGTGTAAAGTGTGTGTTTGTTTTTCTTAATTATTGTTTACACTTTTTTATCAAATTTAGTTTTGAATTAATTGTTTGTTTGTTTTTATCAGGAAAAAATTAACTTTGCATTCCTCTCACAGTACCATTAGACAAGTAGCTATTTGTCCTCATGGCAAAATTATATTTGGAGCTTGTGATGATGGCTTATACGCTTGGAACATCAGTGAAATTGAAGACAAAACAGAACTGTAACTGCTTAGAGATTTTGTTTTCTTTTTAAGTTTTTAATGATTTGTGATGATTTTTAAAAATATAATTCTAAAGATATTGCTTAAAGTTTATAATTTAAAAAAAATATATTTAAATAATATTATAACTTTTATAAAAATTTGCTTAAGACATTCTACTTTTTTTTAAGAAAAGCAGAGTACAGTTTTCGCTTCAATTCTAAATCAAAGCCTTTAGATTCTGCAAATTGTATAAACAATAATTTAATTGGTAAGTGGCTTTCATTTTTATAAATTGTATAAACAATAATTTAATTGGTAGACAGCTTTCATTTTTATAAATTGTATAAACAATAATTTAATTGCGAAGCACCTTAAATTTTTATAAAAAGAAAAGAAATTAAGTTTATTGTTTTCAGTATCTTTTTAAATTAGCGTTTGTAGGTAATGTTAATGGAGGGGGGAGGGGAGGGGGAGGGATGTCTAAAATTCTTAATTTTTTTGTTTAACCAATTATTCTCAACTAATTTTTTAAAAAAGTTCAATAAACAATTCAGTTGTTGCTATTTTTTTGTGGTTGATCTTCTACTTCAATTTTTAACATAAAAAACTGAAAAACTAGAAATCTTTGCAGCGTATTCTTTTCGTGTAAAGTTGCACAACTTTATGTTCAAATTTATGCAGTTTAAATTTTGTTTGGATTTGTTTGTTTAGAACTTTGAATTAAAATAAATGAAAGTTGCATTTAAATAAAAAGTCTTATCTAGTGTAAACATATGTTTTGATTTTTCTTCAATAGAAACTATTTTTTATTTTAATCTGTATCTAAAATTAGTTTACAAAGTTAATAATTTTTGTAAACTAAATTTAGATACGGATTAAAATGAAAAATGTTGCAATAAGAAATAACAAATTAAATCATTAACTAGTAAACAAATAAATCAAAATAAACTTTCTTTAGAAATCTCCCAGTAATTGACAAGTTTTATCACACAAAATTGCCTCGTGGTAATATAATTAAATATCCAAACAATTGTGAAATCAAGATTTAGGTAATTTAGTAATATTTTAAGAAATGTGTCTTATTGTTAAAAAATTTAAAAATACAAAATACAGTTGGAACCGGTGACAGAAACAACTGAGACAGCAGGTTAGCAAAAAAAAAAAAAAATAGTAGGCTTTATATAAGGCGTCCAAAAGATATTATATTTTAGCTTATTTGAAATTCCAAGGCAGCCCATTTACTTGCAAATCAGATGCCAATAAATATATTGAAAAACAGAAAGATATGTCAAAAAACGATTGATGAATGGGATGTTTATTTTAGTAATAATCAAAAAATTTTAAGTAATTGCTGCAAAGATCCTCTTTATTTAAAGTCATAATTATTGATAAAAATACAAAAAAATGCTGTCTTATTTTTACAGAAGAATAAGCTAATAATTAGAAGTTTCTGTTTTTTTATTACTTAACTTAAAAGTCCTCACAACAATCCACAATCACCTAGAATGACTTTTTTAGTTGTTCCAAGAAGAACACCGTGAAGAACACCAAAGCACCGTGGAAGAGCAATTTAACTAGGAAATTTACACATCCTTCTTTACCAATGTCACTTGGTCTGAGCCAACATCGAACCTCAGACCTTGATTCTGAGAAAGAACTCAAATTACTGCACCATAGTTGCAATTAAGTTTTTCACATTTTCACTAGCAGCTGTTACAAATTGTTCCTTACATGGAGTAATTTCATGTATAATGCCTGATTTTTTGTTGTATTTATAACTACACATAATGATTACATATTTTAATGATAAAACAAAAAGCAAAATATTTACCATGAAATCTACTTTGATAAAAATAATGATTCCATTTAATTTAACAATTAATCGTTTTGTCAAAATAACCATTTTTATTAAAATTAAAGTAGAAGGCCAAATATTTATAATGAAAAAAAAGTTAAGTAATTCGAAATCAGCATAAAAAAATAATTAAGAAAAAGTGATTAAACTATACAAAATTCAAAAAAAGTTAAATTTGGGCACCCTTTAATGTTAATGTTAAGAGATGTCTCAATAAAAATACTCATCTTGGGCAGACGTTAAATGTACCCAGCTACTGTCTTGTAGAAGGTCTACTAGGCAAAGATTTAAGGAGTAAATAGATTCTATTGGTTGACCAGATAGAATCTATTTACTCCCACCCTTTCTTTATCTATTAGGCTGGCGCAGATGTATTTATAATACATTATTTCTAGTTCAGGATGTTAAATGCTGGATCTTCTTGACTAAATGTTTTTGCTTGTGTCTCTGTTTTTATGACTAGCTTTTATAACTCATTCTATTATCTCCTAATGATGAGCTCTAAACTGGTAGTCAGATTTCCCAACCTCTGTGGTAGCTCTCAGAGAGACTTATTCCATCAACAGCTGTAAAATATCAGAGTACTAACAGTGCCATGTTGCGCATAGATGGTGTCCCTGTTCACACTTTTGGTGTGCATTGTTGAGGCCGCATTTGGAGCCCTTTGTTATGGCTTAGGGTTTATTAATAGTATTAAGGCAATTGCTCAGACTGTTAACATTGAGTACTATATGTGCTTTGAATCAAGTTCTTTAACAAATTTAAAAAATAAACAAAGTACCAAAAACTATCATTCACTAATATTTGTGGTCTTCGAAGTAGCTTTTTTCCTGTTCAGTCAAATCTCTTGCAAATTTCATCAGACCTACTTGCTCTTTGTGAGACTAATTTGAGTTCAGCTGTCTCATCTTGTAATCTTAGTTTTGATGGTTATCTTTCTTTAATTCGTAAAGACTCCAATAGTCACATGCTTGACCTGGGCATTTACATTCGTAATAATTCACCCATTTTTCGGGAAACTAGGTTTGAATCCACAGACTACTCTTTTATGTGCTTGCGTCTAGCACCACTTCACTCTATCATCTTTCTCTTTGTTCTATATCGCTCTCTTTCATCTCAAGACTGCACTCTTCTTGATGTTTCTGATCATATTGACCAAGCCCTCTCTCTTTATCCTTCAGCCAATATTGTTGCTGGTGACTTTAATACTCATCACACTGAATGGATTGGCTCTAGTGTCAGCGACTCTGCAGGCGTTAAGACTCACAACTTTTGTCTTTTCTAATCTCTAACACAAATAGTTAACTTTAAAACTTGCTTTCCAGACAATATAAATCATTTACCTTCTCTACTCGACTTATGTCTTGTTCTCTCTCCACACGGTTTGATCTCTCTAAGACTATTATCTCATCTTGTGTTGCTGCAATTTTCAATCAAAACCATTACTTCCATGTCTATCTGCAAAAAAGTTCTCTAGAAAACAGACGTCTGTTTACTATTGTTAGAAACCATTGTAAAAAGGTTTTATTTAATGCCTAAGCCCGCTGTTCTCAGGTCACGAAATCTTGTATTTTGTCTCAAAAATTAGGCTCTTGTGGCTTCTGGAGAATCTTTAACAGTATCTATAATAGGGGCAAATATGTTATTTCAAATATGTTATTTTTTTACCTCACCTAAAGCTAAATTGTTTGTTGAGAACTTTTTGTCAAAACCATCTCTTGGTTCCACTAGTTGTGTTATACCTGATATATCCCACAAACGGATAATCAATTAATCAATTGTTTTTATACTGGAGTGATACATTTGTATCACTCTAGCTTCAGTAGCTAAAGTGATTTCCTCCTTAGATTTATTTACAGCTTGTAGTCCGGACAACATAACTGTTAAAATATTGCAGATGTGTTCTTTGAAGCTGTGAAAACTATTTAACAAGTGCTTATCAGAGTCTTGTTTTTCAGAAAATGACATCTGTTATCCCTATTTTCAAAAATTCTGGTGAGCGATCTGATTTGTCTAACTACCGTCCCATTAGTCTTTTTTCTATCATAAGCATGGTTTTTGAGTCTTGAATTGACAAACAGTTAATCTCATCTTGAATCTAATAACTTCCTTTATGATCATCCATATGGATTTAGATCTTCTTATTCTATAGCTAATTTGCTAATAACAAGTAATAACCAATAGGTTTTATAGTGCATTAGATAGATGTGGAGAGTTTAAGGCTATCGCTTTTGCTAATTCTAAGGCTTTTGATAAAGTTTGGCATGCTGGTCTTCTCTATAAACTCTTATGGTGTATCAGGTAACATTTTTAAGATTATTGAATCCTTTCCTACCAATCGTAGTATAAAAGTTGTCCTCTAAAGACAGCACTCTTTTTCATATCTTGTAACTTCAGGGTTCCTCAAGGTTCTATCCTTGTCACTATACTCTTTAATTTACAATAACGATCTTTCAGATATTTTCACATTTAAGGTGGCATTGTTCGCTGATGATACTACCATTTATTCATGTTTTGATAAAGTGCCTACAGTCTCTGTTTGCTTGGAGGGGGCATTTGAGCTTGAAAAAGATCTCACTTCTGCTACAGCATGTAGCTTACAGTGGCTGGTGAACTTTAATTCAGATAAAACACAATTTTTTTCAGCCAAATGTTATCACAATAATTTAGATCTTCCTATATTTATGAATCGCTATGTACTCAACGAGTCATCTACCTTTCATCTTCTAGGATTAACTCTTACTTCTGATCTTTATCTCTTTAAATCTAAAATCCTTGTATGGAACACTGTTGCCATCAAGTAGTAGTAAGTAGTGTGATGATAAAATTCGAAGAAGTACGCAATAAAAGATTTATAGAGATCATTGTGTGGTCAGAAACATCTAAAGGAGAATAAGGAGAAATCGAACACAAGCTAAGTTAAGTGGTTAGGGTTGTCATAAAAGCGAGTCTCCAAGTTATATCTGTTATATCATAGATAACTATCTAAGTGAGAGATCTGAGAGGCTAAGTGAAAAATATAGAAATTATGAGTTTTAGTGCATGCAGAGTCAGTGGTGTTAGAGCCAAGCCATTCAGTTTAATGAGTATTCAAGTCACCAATAATAACAATAGTGGCTGAGAGATAAAGAGATAGGGTTTGGCATGGTCAATATGATCAGATATTGCATCTAAAAGAGTGCAGTCTTGTGAAGAAGGAGGACCATAAAGAACAAAGAAAAAGGTGTGATGGAAACACATAAAAGAATGGTCAGAGAATTTAAACATGATTTCTTGATAAATATGTGAACTTATGTATAAGTATATGCTCGATCCAAGTTAAATATTAAGTTAGATTATGAGATTATTGACTGGAGTCTATCCAAAGGATAATATCAATGCTGAGATTAAAAAATGAATTTAAAGTTGAATTCGAAAAAGAAACTTCAGTTAGTCTCACAAAGAGCATCTAAGTCTCACAAAGAGCATGTAAGTCTCACAAAGAGCAGGTAAGTCTTACAAAGAGCAAGAGAATTATGAAAATAACAGTTTTTTAATTAACAATAATTTTGCAAGAGGTAAGATTCAACTAATAAAAATTACTTTAAAGACCATGAATATTTTTAAAAGATCGAAAAATAGTAGTGGTTTTTTATGTTATTTTTAATATTACATAAAAAACCATAACATAATATTTTTAATCATGTTTTGGTACTTTTAATTTTTAGTGTTTTAATCGTATTTTTATGTCAAATTAAACTTATCTTTAAGTTAAGTTTAACTTGACATCATAGATTAAGTATGTATGACATCATAGATTGAGTATTGCATCCAAAGCAATGACTTATTCAGTTGTCTCACTCCTGCTAATTAACCCAAATTCATAACTTAGACCTCCTTAATGTAGCCTTGACAATGCATGCCAAAAGCACTAATAGGGGCACCATCTATGCACAACATGGCACTGTTAATACTGATATTTTACTGCTGTAGATGGAATCAGTCTTTCTTAAAGCTACCACAGAGTTTAGTAAACCTTACTTCCAGCCAGTATCAGAACCATTAAACTGAGTTTTAAAGCTGTACTCTTATTATGCGTTAACAGGAAGAGTTGCATAGCCACTATCAAAGAGGCTCAAGCAAAAATCTATGATTAGAGTTAAAAAGATCCAGCATTTAATATCCTAGGCAGTAAACAATAAAACTCAGGTTTACATATATGCCAGTTTAAAAGAGGAGAAAAAAGTGCAAATCTGTTCAACAGAACTATTCAACTGAACTCTAAAGTCTTTGCTTAGATGGTTTTCTACAAAACAGTAGTTGGAAGCAGTTAACATCTGTCCAAAATAAGTGTTTTTATCAAGACACCATCTGTAGCCTTAACTCAACCAAATGTTCAAAGCAGAGGTATCTTAAGTCAACCAAATGTTCAAAGCAGAGGTATCTTAAGTCAGAGTTTTCTACTCTTAGTCTGAGAAAAAAGTTTGTTACTCTTAGTCTCTTTAGTCACAAAATAAAAATAGTGAAAAATTTTCTTAATTTTTTTTTGTACTGCATTGTGTTGTTACTTTAAAGTACACTAAGGGCTAAAAATTTGACAAAAAAGCTTGCAAAGGTTTTGACAATATTTGTTTTATTAAAATTAACTTAATAAGTTAATCAAACTTAATTGAATAAAATTTTTCTTAAAAAAGTTTAATTTTTTTATTTAATTAAGTAATAATTTCAATTTATATTTTTTTAAAATATTATTATTAGTTCATTAATATAATTTAATATATATTTCTACTTGTATTATTTACTTTTAGCTGTAAAGAGAATTGCAGAAGGAAGCATTTTAATATTTCGTTCAGAGTCTGAGTTTTTAAAGGTTTTACATATATTTTTATACATGTGTGTCTACTTACATATATATATATATATATATATATATATATATATATATATATATATATATATATATATATATATATATATATATATATATATATATATATATGTATATATATATATATATATATATATATATATATATATATATATATATATATATATATATATATATATATATATATATATATATATATATATATATGTAAGTAAAAATTTTTTCCATATCAATTATTGCAATAAAAAATATTTAATTGAGTATTTTAAAATATTTAAAGAAATTCTAAAGTGAATTAAATTAATTTTTATTTTAAAAGTAAAAAAAAAACTTCAACATGTCAGTCCTCATTTAGATTTATCCATCTTTTATGTAGTTGCCAATTTTAGCATTTTTATTACTCATGATTTTTATCAAAGCATATATATATATATATATATATATATATATATATATATATATATATATATATATATATATATATATATATATATATATATCAGGAATTATCTTTTTCCAGATATTTCCAGAATTCCAGATTTTTTTTAAATTTTTTATATTTTCCAGATAATTAAATAGTTTTAAATACAATTTATAAAATTTTTTCTGTTTATTACTGTCATCAAATAAAACAGTAACAAGTATATATAAACAGTAAATTTGTTGTCCATAAATTACGGAACGCTATATTTAAACAAAGCCAAAAAGATTAAAAGATTTCCCTCGCAAAGTAAACCAAAAATTAATAAGCATTGTAGTTAAAGTTTAATAAAAATCCCAGCTCAAAAGAGCGAATGATCTCCTACTTTAACTCTTCTCTTTTTTAAAAAAATTGTAAATTTACATTTTTTAAGTAACTCTTTTAGCTATTAGCAAAGAGATTTCTTTTTTTATTGTTTTAAAACTTTTTTTTCAAGTAAATCACTTCGCTTATGGACTGAAACTTTTCTCAGTTTGTTTGTTGGTGGTTCAAAGTTAACTGCATCATTATTTCGTTTGCTGTCCAGTCGTACTATTGCAAGTCTCTTTTCGTACGCACTTCTTGAAAGTATCATTTTTTCGCATAATTTCTTATTAATTGGAGACTTAAAAAGTTTTGACGATGGTATTTATAAAGTTATGACAATAGTAAAATAAACGGTACTCGTAAATAAAAATTCTGTTACAAAAGCTGCGAGAGAAATCAGTTTTTAATTTTCGACAAATATGAGAAATATCGTTAAATTTAAACTCTTTTGAGATTAGTAAAATCTAATTCTAGAGAGCAGTGAAACAATTCGATCTAAGAATAAGAAATTTGGTATGACTTTCAATAATGTATAGTTCGATCTAAGAATAAAAAATTTGGTATGAACTTCAACTAGTAGAAACTTCTATTAATCTTACAGTTACTGTAATACCGTGGTGTAACATGGTCGTGCGGTACAACTTGTTTTCGTAAATGGTGAAAAAAACTTATAAAAAAACTTATTATTACTGACTAAGATTAATTACTTTGTTAGTAATAAGTTATTACATACAAATAAGTGTTATATAATAAAACTATATTCTAAACTATAAGGATTTTATTGTAATTATTTTAAAGAAATCTAAACATATGTACTTTGACTAAACATCAAGTGAATCAAATTGCTTTTAAGTGCCATTGTTAGGTTTTTAAAAACATCGCATCTTGAGGCACGTTTTCTTTTCAATTCAAAAAGCTCGTGTCAAGGTTAATTATATTTTCTTTAAAAAAAAATCATTTTTTTAAATCTTTTAAATTTTGAATCACATGAATGAGCACGTGAATCATTAATAATGCCTCACCTCTTGTTTATGATAGTTAAAATAAATTTACAATTTTTATTTAAACTTCATCTAACGAATGTTTTATTTTTGAATTTGGAGGTTTTTTTATAAAAGAAGTCGTTGTATTGTAAATTAAGTTTAAAACATATTAAGCACTGAGTGGAAGAATTAATTTTAGAAAACTAACTGATTACAGAAAAATAATTCAATATCTTTTTACTTTGTATTTATTTATTTTCTTTTTTAACATTTTTTTACTGAAGATTTCTTATTTTTTGTATTTTAGAAGTCTGGTGTTTTATTATTATTATTATTTCCTTTCTTTTTACTGCGATTGAAGTATGCTCCAAAAATAGTTAAAATAAAATTTATTTATATTTTCCAAAAGTTGGTTTACAGGTAATAAAATGTTTACTGAAAGAAGTTGGCAAGCAGAAGTGTCGGATATATGTCGGTTTATTTTGTAAAATTACTACAAAAAAACCAAAGCGCTAAAATAAATAATGCCCATGGGATTTAAGTTATGGTGGCGTCTCTGATCTCTAACTGTTTATCTATTTGTATATCTTTGGTGCATTGAAGCAATATTTCATTATCCATTATGTATTTAAATGTATAAGTGCATGTCTAAAAAAGTTTCCGCATTGTTTAACAGCTATTAAATATAGTTTTCTACTTCTTCTTTGACTTCATCTTCTTATTAATAATATTGTTAAAATTTTATTTATTATTATTCTTTTTTGATAAAATAAATTATGTAGTTTTTTATTCATATATACGGTGAATAAGGATACTTTTAAACTGGCGTAATATTATAGTAATATAAAAGAATGGAGGAGAGCACGCCCCCTCCCTCCTTGATAACATCTCTTTATAATTTTCCGGATACTTTTTACATAAATATGCTATAGTATATATATATACATATATATATACTATAGCATATTTATGTAAAAAGTTGTTCAGGGCACGACATCTTTTTTTTTTAATAAATGTTGACGTTCATATCTGTATTTATTGAAAAATGTCTAATTTAAGAGGTATATGACAAATAAGCCAGTTTTATTTTCAATTCTTTGAATTTTTAATTTTTTTTTTATTCAAATAATTTTTTTTTAATTATAAGGGAGTTTTATCTCAAATAACTTTTATTTTAGTTAATACATTATTAGATATAGCGAAGATGCTTATTAAATTTTATCAATTTTATGTTAATTCAAAACAATTTTTCACGCATTAGCAAAGTGTGCATAAATTGATGATAATCAATATGCGATAACCTTATGACTGTAAACTGTGTTATCCATTAATACAAAATAGTGAATTTTTTTTATTTTATATATATATATATATATATAACATTTATTTTATATATATATATATATTTATATATATATATATATATATATATATTTATATATATATATATATATATATATATATATATATATATATTTATATATATATATATCAACCTTTATCATTCTGCTTAAATATATTTATTAAAAAATCTATATTAACGATAGTATACACACCTACAAACAGGTATCCTCTCTGATAAAATAAAATAATTTCAGTAAATAAAATAAAATAGCTTATTTTATTAGAGAGGGTACTTGTCGTGTATATGTTGCAAAAAAACAATAAAATTTCCGATTTAGAGAAAATAGTTAAGTCTATGGAAGAGAATTCCACAGATTTCCCACCACTTAGAAATTCCGGATGGATTACAGATAGCAGAATGAGTAAAAAGCGATCACCAAAGCAACTATCAGTGGTAAATGAATAAAAGGAAAGAAATAAGAGCCAAAAATGTTTATGGAATAGTCGAGCCAGACAAATGCTTGCAATCTAAAAAAATTTAATAATCTTGGAGCCGAGGTCAAAACAAAAAATGTGAGAAGATTGCGGTCAAAAAAAAAAGGAAACACCAGGTCCAATTTTAGTTGAATTAGAAAATTCCAGTATGAGAAACCCTCTTTTGTATCAATCAAAAAAATTCTGAAACATTAGAAACCCTAAAAATGTGTATATTTCATCAGATCTTACTGAAGCAGAAAAAATGTTTAGTTTCCGATTAAGACAAGAAAGAAATAAGCTAAACTCTCAACGTGCTGCTGATACTACATTTCGATATGCTATCCATGGAAACAAAATTGTCAAATTTAAGTAACTACAAGCTGATTGACCATTGGTGTATGTGTTTATATATGAATGCAACTTCGCTAAATAATAAAATGGAGGAGTTCAAAGTATTATGTAGTGATGTAAACCCACATATTATTGGAGTAACGGAAACTTGGTTCAGAGAAACTTTGATTGCAAGTTTAGGTTACATTTTTTATAGAAAGTTGAAGATAAAATTCTGAGTTCCGACAAAATTGAGCAAATATGGTTTTCATTTGTTATCTATAACGATAGTTATTCATTAAGATGTATATATAGACCAAATGAAATAATTCATATGGAAATCTTTAATAAGTATTTGAAACTGCAAGATCCTATGTTGATAAACGCAATTTCAAGGATATTATAATTATGGGAGTTTTTTATTTTTCAAACATTAAATGGTGTTATAAAATTAAAGGTGTTATAAAATTTATTTAAAACAATGGTAGCTCTCACGAATACAGATTTTATGGTATTTTGAATGATCCTCATTCAGCATGTTTCTTTTCCAACATTTCAATTATTAAACAATGAATGCCTAACCACTCTTGACTTATTATTTACAATACAAGAGAATAGATTATTTCAAATTGAGTCCAGAGAATAGATTATTTTAAATTGATATCCAGTTCTAGGAAAGGGTCAGGGCAATAACATCTGTTTTTGCCATGTATAATAACATCCATGAAACAACATCCGAAATTTCATCGATGTATAATAACATCCTTGCAACAACATCCCAAATCTCATTGATGTATAGTAACATCCGCCAAAAAAAAATTATTGTAATGCATTATTTTAAACGTAATAATTTTTTTTTTTTTAATTTTTTGATAGAGTGTCTGCCCAAACCTAACCCTCAGTCGATGTAACAGCACTCCGTTGCTGGTCAGGCTATTTGTCAGTCAATGTAGCAGCACTTATATAATATAATAATTATATATGTAGCTTATAAATGTAACTACACCCTGAATTTTTTTTTAATAATGCATTATCTAACCAGATGTAGTTACACATCTGATTTTTTTTTTTATGTAACTATGTCCGAAAATTTATTTTATTTAATAATGCATTATTTTAGGCGGATGTAGTTACACATCGAGAAAAACTCTCGGATGTAGTTACATCTTTCTAAAGATGTTATTAGACATCAATGAAATTTCGGATGTTGTTGCACAGATGTTAATTCAGAAAAGAAAAAAAGCGGATGATCTTACACAAAAATTTGCGGATGTTATTTCACTACTCCACGGATGTTGTTGGACAGATGTAGTAATCTTTTTCCCTAGGAAGTATTAAAAGAGATTTTCTAGATAAAGCTGTCAACTGGTTCAACAAATGGCTGTTAAAATTTAATTTTAAGAAGTGTTCGGGAATGCACTTTGGTAAAAATAACTCAAAAAGAACTTATTTTATGCAAAATATACTTTTAAGTATCACTTTTGCTGAAAAAGATCTTGGTGTAGTATTTACTTCTGACTTGAAATGGAAAAATCAAATAACTCTATGTGCAAGTAAAGCAAATAAAGTTTTGGGTATGTGGAGGAATACATTTTTAAGTTTAAATAGTTAATTACTAAAAATTATATATACAACTTTTATAAGACTGTTAATTAAATTTGCTGTTTCTGTGTGGTCTCCGTGTCTTAAAAATGAAATTAATCTCTTAGAAAAGGTACAGCATCGTACCTTTTCTAAGAGATTAATTTACAAGAATGATATTGCCACTAAAAAACCTATGTTATGAGAAAAGGTTAGATAAAATGGGTCTCACTACTTTAGTTTTAAGACGGATTCAAATGTATAAAATGATTCAAATTTTATAAGTTATAAAACGGAATTAAAAAAGTAAATTTATTTAATGAAATTTTGCCAAGAAGTTATTAATCAGCAAGAGGTATCTAATGGAATATAATCACAAAATAACCAGTTTTTCACTTCAGCATTATTTTTTAACAAACAAAGCATTTTTTACTGGAATTGGCTACCTACTGATTTCTAAATTCTTTTAAAGAAAACCTGACATGAGGATTTTAAATAATGTAACTATGCTGAATAATGATATAGCTGTCTAAGTGTACACTCACCGAATTATCGGTCACAGCTCAAATATAAATATATAAATATATATAATCATACAACTCGGAATTAGGAAAAATGAGGTCAGCAATAATTTGCCGACCTCAATCTTTTAGAGGTCGGCAAAAAAAATTGATACTAAGGTCTTACCATAAAACATAAAAACAAGGTTGGCAATATTTGCCGACCGCAAACACTTTTAGGTCGGCATTGCCGAATGCCGACCCTAATTCCGAGGGTTGATATATATATATATATATATTTGTAATAACAAAATCTCTAAAATATATGTTGTTTTATGTTAATATTATTTTTATTAATTTTTTAATTTAGGATGATGCTTATTTAGTTCAAACACTTGTCTGGAGAAAAACAAAAACTCCTTTCCTAAAATTTCATTACAATGCAGGTTCAAAAAAGTTTTGACCTTTTCTTAAATTTCTATATAATAATTAAGTTTTTTAAAAACTATATATTTTATAAATTTTATTTTGAAAATATTTTTAATTTAGTTTATTATTTTTTAGTTTGATAAAAATCCTTTTTATTTATTTATTTTATTCAACCTGCAAATTTATAGATTTTAAACTTAAAGAATTTACAGGTTGAGTTTTAGAGTATAAAATAAAAATTTTTTTAAGAGTATTTAAGAGAATTTAAGAGTATAAAATAAAAATTTTAATTTTTTTTTAGGTTCAAATATTCTATCTTCTGGTGATGATGAAGGAACAATATGGTTATACGAGTTAAAGCTAGAAAAGAAAGGGAAATCTAAAGTTGATTATGAAGTAAGATTTAAGTTTGATAAAACTGAATATATATATATATATATATATATATATATATATATATATATATATATATATATATATATATATATATATATATATATATATATATATATATATATGTATATATATATATATATATATATATATATATATAATATATATATATATATATATATATATATATATATATATATATATATATATATATAATAGTAATAATAATAATAATATATATTTACTGTAACAACAAGAAAAACAAGTTGCAGAGCATACTGTGATTCTATAACAGCTGTTAATGTTATAAATTGTCAAAATTAGTTTTAAAACAATTATTCTGTTGTTGAAAAGTTATTTCATGGTGTACATATATATATATATATATATATACACACACACACACACACACACACACACACACACACACACACACACACACACACACACACACACACAAACACACGCACAATCCTCGGAATTAGGGTCAGCATTCGACAATGCTGACCTAATTGCCAACCTAAAAGTGTTTGAGGTCAAAAATTGCCAACCTCCTTTCCATGTTTTATTGTAGGACCAAACTTGTATCAAACTTTTTTTGCTGACCTGATGCCGACCTCTTGAAGATTGGGGGCAGCAAATTAGAGGGTTGTACATATATATGTACACCATGACATATGTACATCACCCAACAGGTTGACTAATAATTTTTATAAGCATTTTTTTTTTTAAATCTATAAGATTTAATTTCGTGACTTTTGAAGTATAGTTTTAATTTTAAAATGTAGTTTTAAAGTTAAAATATATTAAAGTGATAAAGTTTGTTCCCGCATTTTCTATAATTAAGTAGAACATAAGAAAGTTGCACAAGCGTTTAAATGTCTTTAATAAAATACTTCCTAAATAAAAACTAAAAGGTTTAATTATTTAAACAAAAAGTTTTATTTTTATTTTTTAACAAATTTTGTTTGAGGATTTAGAGATAAAGTAATAGAAATAAAATTGACTAAAACTTGTTAACATACAAAAGTTGTTACGTTACGCAAAAAAAAAATTTTTTTTGGAATATATCAGTTATCTTTAATATCATTTATGTGACATTTAGAAAAAAAGTATTTATTTGCGAACTTTTTAAAGAAACAAATTGTTTTATGAAAAAAAGTTTAATTAAAAGACTTTAAATTAAATATGATTTGAAGTTTTGAAGGAATGTAAAATAATAAAATGTTAGTTTAGCAATTTTTATTATAGAAGTTTTTTTCTTATCATCTGCTAACTAACTTATTACGTAAAATATAAGTCTCTCGATCATAGATTACATCACAAAATCAAATCAAAAACTTTTTTCCTTGTAAAATGTATTTAAATTTTTTTTTTTTTTTTTTTATTAATTCATTAAATATTGAGCAAAGTTCTTTTGAGATAATACATTTATGAACATAAACTAAGTTTACAATTATCTTATTGGTAACTAATTAAATCTATCTATAAATTGTTTTTAATCTTCCTCATAAACATCGAAACTAAGTTAAGATGTTATTACAAAAGTAATTAGTAAAAAATGTGGTAAAGGGTGTGATAACTCCAATAGTATAAGAATTATAATAATAAGTTGAGACAATTGCTTTCACACCAAACAAACTCAGATTAATTAAAAAATGATTTTTGATTTTCATTTTTGATTTTAGATACTTTTGTAAATGGTTAAAATATTTCCCTGCTTTTAGGTCTAGCCCAGGGGAGGGTGTATATGAAGCTTCTTGACTTATGGAATTCTTTTTCTCACATTCATCAGTTTTCATTTATGGAAACCACTAATGTTTTTTTTTATTGAGAGGCTTTCCAGTATCTCGATTACTCTTTAGTTAAACTAGTTAAACTTTGGTTAAAGAACCTCTACAACTGCATACATGTATATTCTGGTGTTCTGTTTGTATTATTAGATTGTTAATGCTTCATTTTTGCTCAGTGCAAATTGCGGATAAAATGAGCGCTTGCCTAACTAAATATAATATCAGGGTATAAATATGACCCAAGAAAAACCCAATACATGTGTACATGTTTAGAAAAAGCCTCACCATTTTTTGGACCCTAGTGTTAATTAGGCTGTCTTCTTTAGTCAAATATTTGTATATCAGGTGGTATTTTTTTGTGTAAATTTTGCTACTATTATGCTTCTCACACATATGACCTCATATTTAGATAATAACACAAATCTTGTTTGTTCTCAATCACATGTTTGTTACTCACTCATGTTTTTTCACTCAATCATATGTTTGTTACTCAATCACATGTTCGTTACTCAATCACGTGTTTGTTACTCAATCATATGTTTGTTACTCAATCATATGTTTGTTACTCAATCACATGTTTGTTACTCAATCACATGTTTGTTACTCAATCATATGTTTGTTACTCAATCACATGTTTGTTACTCAATCACGTGTTTGTTACTCAATCATATGTTTGTTACTCAATCATATGTTTGTTACTCAATCACATGTTTGTTACTCAATCATATGTTTTTTACTCAATCATATGTTTTTTACTCAATCACATGTTTGTTACTCAATCACATGTTTGTTACTCAATCACATGTTTGTTACTTAATCGCATGTTTGAATATTGAACACTATTTTCTTTCATTGAAAAAGCTTAGAAAATCATTTTTATCAAGCAATCTTGTACAGTTCTGTTAAAAAATGTCTTTTATAAAAATTTTTAATTACAGTACTAATTATTAAAGATTTAAAGTAGCTGTTGCTAAACATATCTATACTGTTGCTTATGTATTTTGTTACAAGTTTGCAAAATAAGGCTACTTTTAGGACTTCAGTAAGTTTTTTTATCACTTGAGCACATGGATGTTTTTGGAGGTTGCATGTATAATGAACTAAATGACTTCTATTTGTCAGACCTAAGGTTACTGCTTTTATTTTTTGGCAGCTTACTCCTTCCCAGGCCTTTGCATACAATCAATGTTTGCTTTTTTAGCTTTCAAAAATATTGAGGAAAACTATGTTTAAGTACTCTTAGATGTTTAATACTCAAGAGGGGATGTTTCCCCATCCCCCCAAGTGTCATAAATAATTACTTATAAAGTTGTGTTGTTTTATAATTTATATATATATAATAACTACTTTATATGCACATGTCCCTTTGGGAATTACGATTATATAATATTAAACTTTTCCATTGTATAATTTTCATATGATAAATAAAACCTTGGATATTAGGAGGTGTTATTATTTCAATTTATCTATCATATATTTCTATGAGGAAAAAAAAAAAAATTAAAGTGTTTTAAAAGTTAAAACATTAAAGTATACGTATGGAGAAATATCTTTGTCCTAAAAGATTTGACGCAAATCCAAATTCTTCAACGTCAAGTACAGAATGGATTCACTGGTTTAAAACTCTCCAAAACTTCTTTCTATCCACAGAATCTACATCTAATGAAAAGCTAAGAATATTGATAAACTTTGCCAATCACCAACTGTGTATGAGTACATCTCTAAATCACTAACTTTTGATAATGCAATCAAAGTGCTCACGTCCTTGTAGGTTAAACCAAAAAATGAAATATTTACACGGCATCAACTAGCAACGCGAAAACAACAACCTGGCAAAACGCTAGATGAATTTCTTCAAGCTCTTCGAACCCTTTCGAAAGATTGAAACTTTAAAGGAGTAACAGCCGATATTTACTGCGACGAGTCTATCAGAGACTCAAGTAAAATATGCCAGAAGCTACTGGAAAACAAGACACTTACATTAACATCAGTGTTTGACCAAGCATGCTCACTAGAATTTGTGCAAAAACACTCCGAGCAGTATCAGTCTAATGTACCTCAAATAAATACAATGCGTAGTACAAGAAAATGCGCTGATAATCTGCAAACTTCACCACAAATCATGAAAATGTGTTACTTCTGTGGAAACAATTGCCATCCACACATTATTTGTCCTGCTAGAGATACTGTTTGTTATAAATGTCAGAAACAAGGGCATTTAGCAAAAGTATGTGTATCAAATAAATCATTTTCTGTTACTGAACCCGATGATATGTCTGCAACGATAAGTGCTGGAGCCCCTAATTGTCTCTCACACACTATTTGAAAGGTTGAAATAAATGGAGTTTCGCTACACTAATAGATACCAGAAGCTCTGACAATTTTATCAACAAACACATTGTTAATAAGTACAAAATTCCATATATAAAAAGTAGCGGTAGTGTATCAATGGCATCATTGTCACTAAAAACAAAAATCATAGGCTACTGTAAGGTAAATATGACTTTTCAAAATCAAAATTATACTGACATCACCTTATCAATCTTACCTAACTTATGTGCTGATGTTATTCTTGGTCAAGCTTTTATGAAACAACATAGCAACAGAACAATAGCTTTTAAAGGAAAATTACCCCCTTTGTTAGTTTGCAGTCTAAAGAAATCTCAAATATCTCCAGCAACATTATTTACAAATCTCTCGAAAGACTGTCATCCAATTGCAACTAAATCTGGAAGATTTAGTCACGTCGATAGGCTTTTCATTCAATTCAAAATAAAAAAGTTATTAAATGACAAAATTATAGAACCATGCAATTCACCTTGGAGGGCACAAATCGTAATCACTACAAATAAACGACACAAAAAATGAATGTGTGTCAGTTATTCCTAAACTATAAACAAATTAACTTACCTTGATGCTTATCCTTTACCTAGAATAGACGATCAGATCAACACCTGCTGTGAACTTAACCTCGATTTTACAAACCACCTAATGCTCACTTCATAAAAGCAACCTAACCATTTGAACGACTAAATATAGATTTTAAAAGCCCACTTCCAACATCAACTAAAAGTTGTTATATTTTTACAATTATTAATGAATACTCGCGATTTCATTTTGCTTTTCCTTGTCCTGATACTAATACTGAACTTGTTCTCCTTGTTTGGCACCCCTGCTTATATTCATTCAGACAGAGGCAGCTCTCTAATA